TTGAGAGAGGAATAAAACGGATCAGGTTTTGCAAGGTGGCTTGGGGTTCGCGCTGTCGCCTCACAGCTAAAAGATCCCCGGTTTGCGTCCTAGTCAGTGGAGTTTGCATGTTCTCCCTGTGCAGCGTGGGTTCTCTTCGGGTTCCTCCCACAGTCCACAAATATACTAAGGGTTAACTGGTGATTCTAAATTGTCCGTAGGTGTGAATGTGAGTGTGCTCGGTTGTCTGTCTCTAAGTGTTCTAAGTTCCCCCGTGACCCTAATAAGAGTTAAGCGGTGCATAGATAATGGATGGATGGAACAGCCATCTCTAAGGAGATGAGGGGGTTTCTCCTGAGAGTTTCACCACCATTAACACTAATTCTGCCTTAGCAAGTCCATTCTGCACTGACCCTGACCTGACAGTTTTCACCGTCAGTTACACCTAGAGGCATGGAAGTCTTCATCACCAATCTGTCATATGACGACATATGTATCCGGGACTGCCCATCATCGTCAGGACAGAAAAAATCTCCTAGAATAGTTGTGACACATGTTTAAGAACCAAAAAGAGAAATCCAGTTGCCTTTTTACAAAAGGTCTGAGGATTGTCATGACCTAGATGTGAACAGACACATCAATTCAAAACCATAACTGTGATATTCCAGAGCTGTTGAGGGATTTGGGAATTGTAATGGATCTCTTCATTATACCTTTAGGGTTGCAAGGTGGCTCGGTGGTTAGCATCATTGCCTCGCAGCAAGAAGGTCGGCGGTTCACGTCCTGGTGAGGACACCCAGTATCTTTCTGCGGGTAGTTTACATGTTCTCCCCGTGCAGCGTGGGTTCTCTCTGGCTTCCTCCCACAAGGTCCAAAAACATGTTGAGGTTAATTGGTGATTCTAAATTGTCCATCGGTGTGAATGTGAGCGTGCTTGGTTGTCTGTCTCTAAGTGTAGCCCTGTGATCCAGGGTGTCCCCTGCCTTCGTCCTCAGACTCCAGCCCCACCGCGACCCTACTGAGGATAAGCGGTGTATAGATAATGGATGGAATATATCTTTAATCAAACAAATAGTACCCATGTGGAGCATCCTAGTATGTCAGAATTACACCTCACCAATTAAAATCCTCTTTACTCGTGCTGAAATCCTAATTTAAGCTTCTTTTTTTGGGTCATGTATACTTGTGACCAGCAGGGGGCAGTAAGGCGCCACTGACGTGTCTCATAACAACGAAGAAAAGTTGACCCACACTCTCATCAGCAAGCGACAAAGATGGCCGCCTGTGGGCTGCTCCGCTCCCTGTCTTCCAACTTTTCCACAGTTTTGCCTTTACTTGCTCGCTCGGCGCCGCTTTCCCCTCTGCAGCTGGCATCTAAGCCTTATTTCGGAAGAACAATATCCTCTTCTAGCCGGTTATCAGCAGGTACTTTACCGTGAATGTGTTTCTGAGCTGCATGTTAGCTAACACTTTAGGTAACATTAGCTAAGGAGAAGGACACGATAGCTGACGATGCTGATGCTGCTGCATGTTTGTCTTCCTCTGCTCTCCTCCTGGCTGTCACAGTCATCAACAACAAAACTACACAATCTTCTTTGTGTTGTTGTTTTGCAGCACTTAAATTCACAGACAAGCACGAATGGATTCGAGTAGAGGACGGAGGAGTTGGGACTGTCGGTATCAGCAGCTTCGCACAAGTAAGTTTAAACCGGTTGTCTTTGGGGCACAAACACACTGAAGTCGATCATTTTGCTGCTACGTTTGATGTTGTTTTCTGTCTGTTGCAGGAGGCTCTGGGAGATGTAGTTTACTGTGGCCTGCCAGAGGTGGGCACACAGCTGGCTCAGCAAGGTAAATGCTAATCCAGTGTTATTATGAAGGAATGTGAAGAGCGTTGCACCTGTTAGAGATTTTTGTAGTGTTAAGGTTATGTGTTTCTGACATGGTTTTTCTGGCTATAATAGAATTTTCTGGCAAGAAGTATCAGTAATGCCTCTACTTGCTTGATCGACATAATGATGATTGTGTCAGTGTTATTACTTTGTACATGACACCAGTTACAGCTCTGTAAAACCTCATAAACTTTATTGTCTCCTGAGGGAAAATGGTTCTGCAGGCAGGTAGAAAACAAAAAAACACAAAAGGCCTTTGTCCGTTTAACTCCTTTTTTTTTTTTTTTTTTTTAGCTTACTTCATGTAAATATTTGAGTTTTGTTTATTTCTAGTTAATTAAACCTAAAAGTCAAATATTTCTTTTTGGATTACTTCAGAACCTAACATATTTTAACTTCAGACATTTTGACTTAAAACAAGGAGCTGAATGAATGAACAGCTGAGAGCTCACATTACTTTTTTGATCCCCTCCTGTTGCAGATGCTCCCAATCAGAAGTCTTAAAGAAGTAGGAAGTACAAATATATAATAAAATCTAAAGTATTAATATGAACACAAAATAAAATAAGTTATATAGTTGTAATAATAAGCTTATAAGAAACAGAACTGGCATTCAAGCAGACTTTTCCCAGATGCATTGTTGGAGAGTTGAGACTCCCCAGAGACTCTTTGTTTTTGTAATTTGAGAAAATGAACATTGTGGAAACCATGTGTGAGTCATTTAACCCTCCTGTTACCTTCAATTTATCTTTTATCCTTGGGTTCAATTTGACCCCAGCAATTTATACCTCCAGAAAATATCATAATTAAAATTGTTTATGTGTAAGTAGCCCGTTAAATAAAACTGAAAAAAAAATATGTTAATGAGTTATTTAGAGATGTTAAACATTAAAAGATAATAGGAGGGTTAATACATGTTAAATTAAGGTGTGCTTTCTTTTTCATAGTAATAAAAACTATGATAATGGTAAGTTTTGAATTTGCTCCGTGCAACTGTAGATTTCTAATTTACCTCAATGTGTTTTCATGCATTGTCTTTATCCTGACTCTGGTCAAAAATGGCTTCAGCAGCTGAGACTATAAGCTCTTCATGTTAAATGAAGAAAAAACTGTTTCAGCTTTAGAACATGTAAAAAGAAAGCAGGTCTGTTTCCGATTTCTAGTTGATTCATGTTACTATCAAGTTTATTTAACTAGTTTTCTCCAGTTGACTTTGATCTAATTATTAACCCTAAATGCAGTTAATTCATATTTATATGCAGTGGGAGAACTCACATTTCTAAGTTGAATGAACTTTAAATGATTTACAGTCTGTCAAAGATTTCCTGTATTTTATCAGAAATAAATCCATAGTGTGCTCTGATGTTTCAACAAACGCTGTAAGTGCATTTGTTTCTAACATTTACTGTCACAGATGAGTTTGGAGCTCTGGAAAGTGTAAAGGCAGCCAGTGAGCTTTATTCCCCTTTGACTGGAGAGGTTGTAGAGGTCAATACATTACTGGCAGACAACCCTGGTCTGGTCAACAAGTCTTGCTACAAAGATGGTAAGTGCACCTAAGTTATACGTTAATCCAGTCTGTGTGTCAGAGCACGGTTTGAACATTGACACCTTTGGTATGTGGAACAACTTGAGGCTAATGTGAGGATTTAAGTAGCAGCAACTTATAGTTAAAGAATTATGCCGAAAGGCCATTTGTACACTTTACATATTGATGCCACTCTTTTTTTTTTTTGTTTCTTCTAAAAATGTTGCCGTTCCCTTTCACTGATTTATTGTAAAATGAATCTGTTCAGTTCTTGCAGTCGGTAAACATTTGAGCTTTTGCTGTGAAACAAAGACGTTTTGTACTTTTACAAATAAATTTAAAAGGTGTGTTTGTACTTGTTCTTGAACTAGTACTGTGTCTTAAATGAAAAATGAATTCATATTTACATTTTTCTTTTAGAAATTTTAGCAACTGTAATAACTTCCAGTGTTGGACTATGAGGTCTAGTTTTTGGACAGTAGATGGCAGTAATGTAACACGGCAGAAGGCTGGCACTGTGTCAAGGACATAAAGCTGAAGCTGTTGTGTTATTACATTGAACTATGCTTCACACCATGTACAGTATTTACTAATTTTGTGTGTGAAAATGATTATATAAGTCTAAAGAAGGAAAGGCACGCACATCCCCGAGGCCCACTGGGTTGGGTGCTGGATCACAAAATGTCAAAAATGAGAAAAGAAGAGAAGAACGATCCGCACACCAAAAACAGGCTCCCTTATACAATTTATTGGCGTGACGTTTCGAGAAAAATGCTCTTCCTCAGACTGCAGTCTGTTTTTGGTGTGCGGATCGTTCTTCTCTTCTTTTCTCATTTTTGAAAATGATTATATGACATATTTTGTATCCTGCTAATGCCAACAATCTTTACTCTACACCTGATCCATAGCAGAGATTTTGCATATTTGAGCCCAATCTATGTCTTTTAAATTAAAAACTGGCTGAAGTATGTTTGTCCTTGATTCACAGCTAAACCTGATTTTAATCCGTTCATTGTAGGTTGGCTGATGAAGATGACCATTGCTAACCCTGCTGAGCTTGACGCTCTAATGGATGAAGCAGCATATGAGAGATACATTCGCTCCATCGAGGACTAACCTAACACCTCTTAATAAGTGCTGTGCTCCCTCTCCCTTTTCAAACACCGCTGGCAGGGAGATGCACTGGATGTGCCTGTCAATACAACGCAATGCTTAGCATCCATCACTGGAGCATTTATAGCTCCAGATTGCTGACCTGCCAGTGCTGTAGAGCTGTGAACGTTAGGAATCCTTTTATCTACTGTTACAGACTGACTTTAGGGGACCTGCCAGTCTGCACTGACTAAACATTCATTGTTGAGTTCTTGCAGCCTCAAATCCCCCCAAAAACAGAAGAGACTGAGACTCACAGTCAATAGAATAATTTCCAAGCATTTCAGTCAAAGCTTGAAAACTTGAAATTCTGTTGTAGGACACTGTTAGACTTAAAAAGCACTTTGGTTTGTATCTTATTATTAATTATGTTGGTCTGCATTGCATGTGTGACGGCTAAACTGTGGACATGGGACCTGTATTATAGAAAATAAACATTTCCTTACACATTCTGGTTACTTTCTCGTTTATTTCACAGCATTTAGAGTTTTTATTATAAACGTGTGAAGTATATTTGAAAATGACATCTTGTGTGACATAATTTCGGTCAGTTCTTTGGTATTACACAGTAGTGAAGAGGTGATATGCTTCCTTTCAAGTTTCACATGAGAACACATTACACAAATACAACAAAGGTTGCCCAGAAACCAAAAATAACAAATGAAAGGTGCACCATAACTATGTACACAGACCACCCTGATCCAGTGCTTTTCACCAACACTGATATAATAAAAATTTTACCTGAGATTATGCTGAAAACTCACTTTACAAAACATTAGGAGATTTCCAACCCTCCTGTAAACTTTGCTTTATTCACACAAATGTTCTCTCTTTGCAAATTCTTGGCTCCACTGTAGATTCGATGTCCACAGCTCATCTTTGCACCCACCTGCTGACTGTTGCTCTTTAGCATTTTGTACATTTGCATATAACACCTGTTTGAATCTGTAAACCTTTAGCCTTGATCTCTGGGTCACCTAAGTGAAGTGACCGCTCCACCTGGCACTACAGAGAACCTGTCTTTGGCTGTTGGAGTCCGTCTGGCTCTGCCCCGAGGTGAAGGAAGCAGAGGGAGCCCCTCCATTCTGCGATAATCACTCTCCAGCCTCTCCTTTCTCTGTGTTCCCTCATACATCACGCTGGCAGTAAAGTCTCTCTCATTAAGGAAGGCAATGGTCTCATCCCTCTTGCGGCTCACGTAGCCCTTTAGAACGGCATTGTAGGGGTTCGCTGCGGCATCTGCATCCGGATCTTCTAGCTGGTGTTTGAATTCCATGCGGGTGATGACGGGCAACAGGAACTGCTTCCCCTCTGTCCTCACAGCCCCATGAGATAAGCCCAGAGCCTCGGACACCAGCCGTGGGGGCAAAGGCACCAAGTCACAGCCGGATCGCTTGTCCACATACTGTCCAAACTCTTTACGCACCAAAGCCACATCTTGCAGAGACTGATTCCTCCGCCCCTCTAGGTCTGTAATGATTCGCTCGGGATATGTCTGTCCAAACGCCACACCTAAAAAACAGGATTTGTATGTTGAGGTGCACAATTGTATGCTGTATATAGTGTGATTCAAAACAGGTGTTCTTTGTGCTATTATGATTTATAAAGAGGAGAATCTACAGCCTTTTGATAAACTCCTCACCTGCTCGGCGCAGCATGGACGCAGGACATTTCCAGGGTTTGTGAATGAGCTCATCGGGCAGATCTGCAAGTTCTGGACACCATTTCCTCACGTAGCTGCCGTAGGGGTCACAGGTCATTGCTGCATCAATGGGGTGCATAACAAAGTTCCAGTGATCCAGGCCACACATGCCCCCATTCTGCCACATCATAGCGTCGATGGCAACGTCTGCATCTACCAGGGTGTCCTAAACACGTGCAAATTTTGTGATACAGTACCTGTTTTATTATTTATATGTATGTCAGTGCATTCGTGCCTTCATGCATAAACATCTCACCTGGAACCAGCGGTAGCCCTCTTGCCACGGCAGATGGAGGTACGCGATGAGAAAAGATGCCACCACGTGTCTCATGTAGTTGTTCATCCAGCCTGTCAGCCACAGCTGCCTCATGGCTGCATCCACCAGCGGGTAGCCCGTTTTACCTCGCTGCCATGCCTTGAGGTGGCCGCGATCGCTGCTCCACCGCAGAGCCTGCCAACACCAGAGGATGAATAATGCTTTGTTAATGAACATCATACTTCATCGTGTGTGATGGGCTTTTAATTACAGATGAATAAAGTGTGGTGGCTAACTGAAAAATCAAAAGTTTTATGATATCACTAATGTGCAGTCAGCATGTCGTCTAAAGCCCATTTCTACCTTGTATGGAGGTCTGAGGGATTCCCAGGGGAGGTCGGGAAACAGGGTTAGCTGCCAGTAAGCTAAATCCCTCCACGCGAGTTTCCGTTGGAACTTTGGGGGTCGACAACGTGCTCCTTTGGCGTCCCATAATAGCCAGCGTGGACTGAGCTGACCGAAGTGAAGGTAGGGTGACAGGCAGCTGGTGTTCGGAGCATCAGCCCTGCCAGACTCTTTTTCATATCTATACACACCTAGAAAACATGGAAATAATCATAATGTCACACTGCTTAACAGTCCTGCAAATACAGTTTACAAAGTACACAGAAGACGTCTCACCATCATGAAGAAAAGCGTCTAGCCGGGCATGTGCTCCTTCTTCGCTAAAATCCCAGGACTTTCGGATGTTTGCTGCCCAGTCAATCTGGATACCAAAATGAACACAGGAAAATATTGAGAACCGCAAGATCTACTGTTCTATTATGACTTAGGTTTGGTGCTTTATGTTACAGCGCTGCTTTGCTGTGATGACTAACCGTGGTGCCATCCTTCCTGCGGGGCATGCGTGCGAGGCCTAGTGTATCCAAAGGCGCACCCTGTGGCCAACGGGAAGGTGTGGGGAGAGATACTGGAGGGTCCAGGGGAACCCCTAGTGTAGACGCTGGGTTCTGTTTACAGCAACTCATGAAGTGAGACACTGAACCAATTCCTACATCGCAGAAGAAGACAAGTAGAAATTCAGGTTATACGTCAACTATAAAATACAAATATTCACGCAAGCTTAGCACGACAAATCCATTTTGTTGTGACTAACCTCGGAGTCCCACGCCCTCTGTGCTGACAGAATAAGGGTCCCTGAGGCAGTAAGAGTGGAACATCCTGCATTCAACACCGTCTTTCTTCAGAGCTGACACCACCACATCATCCCTGTCCTTCAGCCAGGGCTCATACAGGGCATTAGCCAGCACTGTCCTTGCCCCGGTCTCCTTTACCAGCTCCTTAAGTGTCAGCAGGGAAGATCCCACCTCATTCCCCTCTCCATTTGCCTTGAGGAAGACGAGATGGCTGCCGATGCGCTCCAGAGATGAAGAAAAACAAGACAGAGCCTGATGAAGCCAGTATTTACCTGATAAAAACAGGACGACATGATTAGACAACAGTAGGGAAATAACCAAACTTTAGCTTTATGAAAGGTTTGATTCCATTGTGCTTTAACAAAGACTTTATTCATGATTCCTTGAGCAACTTACAGGCTCCCCCCATAGCCACTGTAACCCCTGGTCCCTCCTCCTCTTCAGGGCTCCAGATGAAGACTGGGATTACAGGTGCACCCACCTCCAGCGATCCCATGAGAGCAGGGTTGTCACACAGTCGCAAATCCCTCCTGAACCACAGTAGTACCGGTGGTGGTGCTGATGGAGAACAGGGCAAGCCCACAAGCTGCTGACCAGCACCTTTTCTTCGCTGCCGCCTGTTCTTGGAGTGCTTTGGTTTCTCTGATTGAATCAAATCTTCTGTCCCCATCCTTTGATCACCTTCTCTCACTGCATCTTGCTTGGAAAACGACACAGTCTGACCTGGCCCAGGTGTCTGCTTTTTATGTTTGTCAAGGTGTGTGCTTTTCTGAAGCTCAGTCTCTCTGGTTGTTTGCGGTGGACTCCCATTCCTCCAGGGTCCAGTTTGTGCTGAGTCTGTGTTTTTTCTTACGTCAGGTACATCTGCTGGCTGGGTGTAGTTGCTTCCCTGAGATTTGGAGACTGAGTTGAGCTGAACAGAGCTGCTCTGATTGGGTCTGTCTTCAGGCTGCAGAAGTTGTAACTCTTGGCTGGGGGTTGACAGCTGGTGATCTTTCATTTCCAGTAGAGAGAGAGCCAACGCAAGTTCCAGTTCATCATCTTCAGTCTACAATTTAATTAGGACAATCCATTATTATTACAGTAAAAAAACAAAACAAAACTGACTTTATTTTTTTAAGTTGTATCTCAATATGTCAGGTTGGTCTTTAGGAAACACTAGCAAAAAAATGTTTTGACTGATTTGCCTTATGGACAATCAAGGTTGCAAATGGAAGAAAGGATGAGCTGTAAAGTTCTTCAACAATAAGTTTATAAGGCCATATGCCCTTTGCAAAGACCCACAGATGTTTTCACTGATTTGAGCAGATTAGATCTCTACTAAGGAACGACCGGGTGCGTACAGACAGCAGGGCTTAATTTCCACTCACAAAGCACTTTATTAGAAACGCCACGCCGATATTGGGCAGGGCCTCTCTTTGTTCTCAAAACAGCCTCCGTTCTTCATGACTTGGATTCCACAAGTTGTTGGAAACATTCCTGTCAGATTCTGCTTTATATGATTGCATAACAAAACTTTTGCACATTTTCAGTCATGCTGTCGATCTTTCATTCTACCACGTCCCTAAGGTGTTCTCTCAATACACTGTCATGTTCATGAAACCATTTTGCAGTGGCTTATGCAGAAACCTGCATCCAGCACTATGGCTTCATCCATTATGCCGGAAGTATTAGTTAAAATATGGGTAAATTATGGCCATTAAAGACGCACATGGTCAACAATAATACTCAAGACTTGCCACACAGCTCGGCCACACTGGTTGCTTCTTGCTTTTACGCCATTCTAACTAAACTCTTGAGATTGTTGTCGTCAAAATCCCAGTGGATCAGCAGTTTTCTAAATACTTAAACCAACCCATGTGGCACCAACAATCAAACCCCTGATATGAATTTTTTTCTCCATTCTGATCGTTGATATGAATATTAACTGATATGCATCTGCATGATTTTATGCTAGGCAATGGTGTCATGTGATTGGTTACTTGGATAATTGTATCACAGGTGTGCAGCACAGGTGTTCCAAAGTGCCTGGAGAGTGTGCGTAGCTCCACCTGTAGATGGAGAACTTACATAAAAACATGTATAAATACTAAGTGAGTAGTAACGATGAATACTGTTAGAACATAGTGCGTTTTTAAAATTCTTGATGAAATACCTAAAAGCTGAGCTTTGCTAAACCTGACCAAGTTGCGTGCGCAGGTGCGATTAGCTATGAGTTAATTAACATACATGGAGGCGTCGCCATTTTGGCTACTATCCAAGCAAGAGGGTCCTTGGTTAATGTTTGTAAGCATTATTATATAACAATTATTTTTAGATATGTAGCAAGCCAGTAGTGAAATATTCTTCTCATGAGTAAGCACAGCAAAAAAAGCAGATACCATGTTGTTAAAACAAGAACTAAACGAAGTTGTTTCCGTGTTTTTGCTAACTTCAACGTAACTAGCTAGCTAAAGTTAGTTGTTTGCTAACACGTTAGCCACAACAACTTCACCCCCAAGGTAAATTTAGCCTCTGGTAGTGGTGGACAGTTAAATTTAGCTTTCAGGGGTAAGTAAAACACAACAGACTAACTTGTATTAAAAATATCTAATGTCTTTCACTTATTAATTTTCGTGTGATTTTTAAACACTCTTGCTTTTCTCTAAATGAAAAAGTACCTATATTGAAATGCATTCTTGTCTGTCTTTTTCTTATCGGCTATGAGGGCACTGACCTTGGAGAAATATTCCTGGTAGATGGAGGTGAGGATGGAGTGCAGGGCTCTGTTGGCCGTGGACAAAGGCTGGATGAGGGACGGGAACTGTGTGCGGGTCTCTTGGTGCCCCAGGACGGACACACACATCGCAAAGAAGCCCTCTGGATCCTCTCGACCCGCCAGCACGTCCCTCAGCATCTTTCTCACCACGGTTTGGGCATCAGCCGCTGGAGGAGGCATCTTCCCAGTGAAAGGTAACGATGACTGTGACTGTGAAATGCTTCCAAGCTTCAAGTTTAAGGCATCAAACTGCTCCACGTTCCTCCCCAGCGCCGGTTACCAAAGACCAGCTGATTCTCAGTTACACAAGCCATGTGTCTGTGTTTTGTAACCTGCAAAACTAACTATATGTAATAGTTAAATTTCCCCAGTAGAGGGTGTACAAATCTAATAAATCGTGCCTGAGCAGTGAGGCTGGTGAAGCCCAAAGGTGCTTGACTGCTTTTCCACAACATGTGATTAACAGATTGGATTCCTTGTTTACATTTCAATAATTTGACATTATGGTAGAGAGATATAAACTTCATAAATGCTATGGGAAGGTCTATTTTTGCCATAGATTTGAGTCCCTCTTTGTGTCTATTATAAAGTCGCTTCTCTACCAAATCACACCTGTCAACACAAATGTTTCAGGATTCCCAAAAGCTAAATCCAATCAAATAAAGATCCTTGGTTCAATTAGAACTGATGTAAAATAAATAAATATATGAACCTGGGGAAGCATCTACCTCAAGACAGTCATTCTCTAATTTTTTTTTTTTTACATAGCCTTCATCTTGACAGGAATGTGTTCCTTTTCAAGTGCACTCTGTGATGTGAGACTGAAAAACAAAGCCAGGAGACAGTGTACCCAGCAGTGAATTTTTAATCATGGTCTGTATTCATGCTGTTGAAGGGTTGCTAAGTAATTGATTTTTTTAATGAGACCATGAATAAGCTTTTGAATGCACACAGCAGGGGACAATGATTTGTGGCACTTGTGGACCAAACTATAAAATGCTTTGTATAGTTGATAAGCTCCGCTTGTAACACCATATTCCTGGAATTACTTATTTTTCTCATGCAAGAATTATCTCAAGTAGTCATCCAAAATGTGACTCAAGGTTTCAAATACAAGGACGCACAATCTCGGTTATTCAGACTATTATGTGAAAAGTAGTCGGAGTGTATGAGGGGAAGATGTGTTGAGAGCTGTGGTATGTGAAGAGAGCAAGACAGAAAGAGAGAGGGAGAGAGAGAGAAAGAGATTGAGAGAGAGAGAGAATCAATAGTGTTTAGACAGAGAAGTGGAGTCTAAGTGTGTGATCAATAGAGAGCAGAGAGGAGAGATTAGCTGCTTTTCTCTCTCAAACTAACACTGACAAATTGGTGAATTGGTGTATCGGCCCTTGGGCTAAACGGATTGACCTGCTGTTTCCATGTTCTACCGTGTACTGTCAATAAAGATCTGTGTTCATTGTGGCTCTCAATGAAGAGAGTGAATGAAGCACCATAAGAGAGAAAAAGGGAAAGGAAGGAAGGGAACTGAAGAAGTAGAGACCCGGTAAAGCAAGGTGCAGCCCAGGTGCCCGTGTAGCCTTGATACTCACAAAATGTCCACACTTCAGCCTCATTAACACATTCGTGCACTCACATGTGCATCCTCGTGCACACTGTTATAAAACCATAATAACGTCTCCAGGAAAATTAATGGAAAGACAGATTAAAAACTAAGTGAGGAGAAACGGGCCACTGGTGTAGCTATTTGCAACTCATAAATCATTCTGACACACCCACGCGCATGTAGACACACGCATAGACACACACACACATACACACACACGTACTGTAATTAACCACAGGCTATTTACTCTCTCCTGCTGTAAATTAGACATGCAGACACAGTTATTACATTAGGGGGATCTGCCATGCAGAATGCTAACAGGAGGAGGAGGGGACACTCGTACACACAACAACCGGCGCGTACAAACATAAACACACACATACATGTACACAAGAAAGAGGGTATGGAAGAATCATAGACTGACGGGAGTGAAAATGAAGCTGCAGCACAGAGAATAGGGGCCCCCAGCTCTTTGTTCCCTGCTGCATTTCATTATCTGAAACGCCAGCCAACACACACGACACACACACACACATAAACACAACGCACCTCCCCCTTCCCTAAAGCTGTCTGCCTCCACTCCATGCACACAGCACAAAAAGAGAGGAAAATAGAGATACTGCGTCAGTGCCATTCATTGGCATCTGGACTCGGTCATGACAAGCATGTCTGCACGGTCATCTTTAGCAAATCGACCAAGCTGTTCTGAGTTGACCACCTCGCTTCAACCTGTGCTCACAGAAAGCGCTAACCCATAAATTCAATCGTAAGCCCAACAACAGGAGATGAGGACTTGATTAAAGCAAGTATTGATACTACGTCTTTGGTAGCTTGTCTCCATTTAGTTCATCTGAAGTTTTTTTTTTTTTTCTTCTTTCCAGCAGTCCTCCTGTTTGTGTGTGTCCTCTGGTTCCCCCTGCCTCCCTCACCCCTCTCTGTCCCTCTGTTTTCCCACGGTGATCGATAGCTCATTACAATCATTGACTGCGGCTCATCAGCACCTGTTAAGGTCTGGAGAGACAGAAAAGGTGCATGTGCTTCTTAGAGTGCGTGTCTTTTGATGCGAGCCTATCGATGAATAGAAAGATTGGTTTTGAATGAGTCACAGGTCAAGTTTGACATTTGAATAGTTATTTTCTGATTCACATCCATTGCTGCGGGTGTCTAGTTTGTCGCCGCTTTATGGTCCGTGGTCTTGGGGAACATCTTATTATGCAACTCACGTGGGTACCATGGTTTGTTGCTATGGTGATTGCCAAGGGAGCCAGAGTATTATAGGTGTTTATCCTAGACAGGAGCAAGGCTACTCTCTGTCTATCAGGACATGCTTCAATTTACCACACGGTTTGGACCACACATAAAGATCAACGCAGCTACAGAGGGACAAAGGGAAAGCTGAGAATATAACACAGTCAAGTGTTGATGTGATTTAGAGGAAAGATTATTCAGTATTCATATTCCTGGAAGAAAGACCTTGTTCAAACACTCAGTTGTTGGTTTAATGCGTCACTGCAGGGTTTGTTTTTGGAGAGGACAGGCTGTGAGCCGAAAGAAGCAAACAGAGAAAAAGAGGAGAGACTCTGAGAGACGATTAGAAACTACAAACCGTGGTTAAAGGCAAGGAGAAATATGTTAGAAAAAAGAAAGGGGAAAAAAAAAAGGAACACAAAATAAAAGAGACAATAGTGAGACCTCAAGAAGTCCCCCCTGGTTTCATTCACAGGATGTGGTCTCAGTAAAGAGGAAAATTGGCGTAAGAGTGTGAAGTTTTAAGGAAAAAGGGGATATAAATAGAGTGAATACAATGGAGGGCTGAATAGAGAACAAGTCTCTCAGTCCATGCATAAATTACACACATCATTTACATATTCATTATGTTTTGTGTTCTAATGAGAGTATTTGCTTAATAGCTTCACCACCACTGGCAGCTTTTGTTTGACACGAGAGAATTTAAAGAGAAGGGGGGGAAAAAAGAAAAATAAAGGCGCAAGGGTCATCTCAGTAAAGTGGGTGAGGTCAATGGTACACAATCAATTTTACGATTATCGTATCAATCATATTTCTGTATTGTGCGTGTGAGAACAAGTACAACATGCTCAAGGCTCTTAGAGATATGAAATGAAGCACACATGATGGGGGTTGGTAAAAGTTAATTAAAACAACACAAGCTTTCTCCAAACTCAGGGCTTTCTTCGTCCTTCTCGTCTTGTCCCGGCGGAATAAGTAACTGCTGCTGTAATTACCTACAGGGCAGTCACTGAGAGCATTCCTTCAGGTGCCGAAAAAAGTGTACCAAACGACAACAAAGACCGGCGATTTGCGGCGTACCTTTAAGAAATGAAAAGTTGCATGTGCGTCAATGAAGTAATGTTGAGTACATAGACACGTGCAGCATTTCGCACAAACTGAGGGGGTAAATGATTTAGAAAGTGATTGAAAGAAATAAGGGAAAGAGCGAGGGATGGAAATGTAGAGACAGGGGGAAGGGCAACGGAGGGATGAGCTACAAATGAGAGCGATGGCGGTGGCAGGTTGGCACAGTGCCATCCAGTCAGGACTTGAGCGGGGGCGGGCATGGGCATGGGCGAAGGGGCGAGGAGAATAAGAATGAAAGAGGAAGAGAAACAGACCTCCATACTGCTACCATGGTGCCACCTTGGCACAGGCATAATGGGTCGTAACGAACGGGAGACTGGGCAGAGGAAAGGAATAGCAAAGCGTAGAAGTAAGTAAGATGCCAGCAGACAGAGGATGACTCAGATGTAGATGGCTGAAGAAGGCATAGACGGAAGTGGAAGAGAGAAAAATGGATGATACTATAAAACTGTAAGGTTTAACTCCATGATGAGCATCGGTTACATGAAGAGAAACGGCGCCGGAAAATCCTACATTTTATCCGTTTACCGACTTTTCTGTCTCTCTGTGCCAGCCGCGGCGTGCCAGCCAGCGGGCAGCGTGCCAGTATACAGTCATGGCATACCCGGCGGGATCAAAGCGGATGGCGAAGAACTGTCATAGGCAAAGACAAGGGACTCACCTCTGTGGATTTGCTACTAATCACCGTTTGTTTGCTTGGACAAAGCCAAGAAGAGGTGCCCGGGCAACGGTTGCCAGCGATTCTGTGATGGCATCTTTTCGGGGCGGCAAGGGCACGGGGAGAAAGATGGCATGCTGCCAAGGCGACATAAGACACACATTTGTAAACAGAAACCTCCATACGGTGAGCAGAACATTTCGGATGCCTTGAATGTTTTCGGCGATGGCATCCCCTCAAGGGAGAGACTAGAAACAGAGATGGCACCATGCCAAACGCAAACTGTGAGGCATTCACAGCCGCCATCAAAAGCTGTACAAAAACGCGGCAAACGCAGAAACAAAATAGTAGAAAAAGGTTAGAAATAGAAACACAAACGCAGCTGTGGCGGGAGTATGGGACAAAAACCATTTCCTCGATGCCAACTCTGCTCAGTGCCAACTGCTGCACTGAAAGGAAGCTGCTGCCCATTGCAAAGAACTAAGGCGAGGGATCGTACCATTCCACTATGGAGAGGAAGAGTATGCAGAAGAAGAGGAATAATGAGCAAAATGAATAAAGGATATGGAAGAAGAAAATATGAGGAATTTTGTGCTTAACGAAGAACAGTGGGAGTGGGTGGACAAGGATGATGAAGAGCC